AGCTTCGCATTTTACATTTACGATTGAGTTAACACTCATGGACGAGGTCGAACTGGAAGCCATGTTAATCTTGGACTACATTTGCCACTTTAGGAGTTAAAACGAAATCGCAATTGAGAGGAACAGAAACTAATATTCACTGTGTGGTCATGTACCTTTTCACCACTAGATGGGGGTAAAAATCACACAGTGTAGCTTTAAGGTAAAAAATCTTACTTAAGGCCATTGCACACTGAGTCCGAAATTCGCGTCCGAAATTTTCACACGTTAAAAAATAAATACGACCTCATGTTACGTCAATCACGCTTTGCAGACTGCCTCCGAAACTTTCGTCCATCATAAAAAAAAATCGAACCGGGTTCAATTTTCTGCATTTTTCGCATCCGAGGCAAGCGGTTTGAATGGTGTTTTGACAATTCAGAGCCACCGAATCACGAATTCGAAAAAACGCATACGAAAATTTCGGACTCAGTGTGCAATAGCCTTTAGTGTTGCTTTAATAAACAGACGAATGAATGCAAGATTCTGACTGAACACTATTGTGAATTCAGTCCTGCAGCTCAAAAATCTTTAAATGTTTTTTTTTTTTTGTATTAATTATACATTATCTTTAAATGTATTCTAATTGAAACAATAACAAATGTTAAATAAAAGCGGTAAAATCGTTATTTTTTATTTTCAAGAGGAACTCACAACTTAAAAAAAGAGGACTCTAAAATAGCTGATTAGAGAACATGGAGGTTGAAGGAAAATATTCAGTGGTTGAAAATGTTAAGCGAACATTTCCTCTGCATGTTAATGCAATTGTGAACAAATTAACCCATAAAGAATACAAAATGCTGTGGGAGAGAGACATATCACGTATCATACCATACAACATTTAACAAGGTATTCGGTTTCTTCGGGCACATCTCTACTGAATGTGATTGGTCTATAAAGCTATGATGAGTTAAAATAGTTATTTTATGCATTTAAAGGGGCACTTGGCAACTATTTCAACTTGATAAAACCATTTAGAAATCATTTTAATGGTTCAATAAGAAACACCAACCTTGCAACAACCTTGTAAGTTGGAAATAGAAGTCTCGTGAGAAGCGAGAACGAGCGAGAACAAGCGAGAGACACGAACTGCTTCATGGCAATTCGACATAATTCTATGATACTGTGTATGATGTATTACCCACTCGGTAGACACGGCTCCACATGATAGAGTTGTCCGGCTGCGATAAGGCGCTGCAAGTGAGTTTCTTTATGGCAGTGTTGTGAAATACACACCGCACAGCTGTAGGGGGCGCTGATGAGAACACATGCCACAACAAAAGTGGAAATCAGCGAAGAAATAACTAGAGTTGCTCCTTTAATTTTTAAAATGAATCTAAAATGTAACTTTAATATTTACTTTTAATTTAAAACATTGTCAGTGCATGCTATTGAGTATTTCAGTGTGTTGTATTTAAAAGGGTGGCGATGTTTGCAGATGTTTGTCACTGGTACGTTCCCCCATTAAAGTCAATTAGCCCCATTGTCCCGTGTGTGTAGGAATCAGTGTTTCTGTTTGCAGAGCTCAGAAGATATCCTAATCTAGTCTTGGGTTTGACAACACCTTGCACAACTAGTTTCTCCCTCCCTCTCTAGCCCTACACTTATCTATTCAACAAAACAAAGTCACATGCTTAAAGAGAGGCCTATTACATGCTTTGTTTTGTCTTTAGCTAATCGAAGAGAGACCAGTCATTTACGCACAGCCCACTAAGGACGGTTGTGGAGATTATCCCGTCTTCGCATTTTAGAAATGACAATTGGGTATACACAGACGATTTCCCCAAAATATATATTTGACAGGGTTTAAGAACAATTAATGGAATACTTATAAAATAGCCAACACAGTCTCATGAAGATGCGTATCTATACCACGAATGTCATTTCTCGAGGCATTTATACGCCAAAAATGGTTTTTGGGCTATAAATAAAAAAACCCTGGGGTAGGTTTAGGGGGAGGGGGGAGGGGAGTTTGTGCGTATTATACGCCAAAAAGTGCGTATCATGTGCACGCGAAAAACGCGTACCATATACACGCAAAAATGTTTTTTTGCCGTATAAATGCCACGAGAAATTACATTTGTACTATAGATACGAACTTTCATGAGATCGGGCTAAAATAGCACCATTAAAGGGTCGAATTAAGAAACCCTTGTTATTGGCGTTAAGTGAACCGTAGCCAGCATTACTGCTCGCGCTCGTGATCAAGAGACATTTAAAATCAAAATGCAAATGTGACCATTGCTGAAGCACCCATGCCATTTTAGCTTGATTCTTTAGCTTTTTTTTTTGTGACAATCTACAATTCTGTACTTGTGCAAGCTTATATCAGAAAAGCCAAACATGGAGCTGGTTATGTGATGTAAACAAATATATTTTGGAGTTTGCAAGTCATGCACTGTGGTAAAATGTGTTTTGAGCTCCTAATATAATATATTACAAGGAGTCTCATGAAAATAAATCTTTGTTTATCCATAATCTGCCCCTGTAATCATAACTGTGTGTGAAAAGGATTGAAAGTGCTTGCTGTTTTACTGGCTCCAGTGTTGATTTCTGTTGGAAACTGCAGTGATACAGTAGGCTATGTATGTATTGGTATGTATTTTGCATTTTGCAGTAATGTTGCCACAGGTACGTTTTCCCAATGAGCCTGTGTTGCCCGATATAGCCTATAATCACGGCAAAGCTCTTTTTCTTTCTTGAACATATCTTTTCTTTGCATTAATATACTGTTAACGAACATTGAGTTTGTGGAGTAGGACTACGGTTCACAGCATCTTTCTGTTCATGTTTTCCTGTTTACTTCTGTTTGCAGCCAATTGAAACATTTAACATGTATCTTAACTAAGTGTCTCGTGTTTTTGAGCAAAGTGGAATTAAACGCAACATCAAAAATAAAATGTTTGCAATTAAAGGAGTAGTTCACTTTTGAAAAAACTTTTGCTGATAATTTACTCACCCCCATGTCATCCAAGATGTCCATGTCTTTCTTTCTTCAGTCGGAAAGAAATTAAGGTTTTTGATGAAAATATTCCAGGATTTTCTCCATATAATGGACTTCATTGGGAACCAAACGGTTCAAGGTCCAAATGAGAGTTTCAGTGCAAACTGCAAACTGTTCAAAGGGCTTTAAATGATTCCAGACGATGAATAAAGGTCTCATCAAGCGAAACGATCGCTCATTTAATAAATAAATAACAAAGTTTAAGTTTTATAAGCTCAAATGCTCGCCTTGCTCGGTTCTGTGATGCGCGTTCGTGACTCTCCTGTTCAAACTCATTCATCAAAATGAACAAATCTTTTTCCGAGTCAATTCGTTCGTTTCGTTCGTTGAATGAACCAAATGAATGAACCAAACGAAACGAACGAATTGACTCGGAAAAGGATTTGTTCATTTTGATGAATGAGTTCGAACAGGAGAGTCACGAACGCGCATCACAGAACAGAGCAAGGCGAGCATTTGAGCTTATAAAACTTAAACTTTGTTATTTTTATTTTTTTTTAAATGAGCGATCGTTTCGCTAGATAAGACCCTTATTCATCGTCTGGAATCGTTTAAAGCCTTTTGAACAATTTGCAGTTTGCACTGAATCTGTCTTTTAGACCATTTGAGTCCCACTGAAGTCCATTATGGAGAAAAATGCTGGAATGTTTTCATAAAAAACCTTAATTTCTTTTCCACTGAAGGAAGTAAGACATGGACATCTTGGATGACATGGGGGTGAGTAAATTATCAGCAAAAGTTTTTTTCAAAAGTGAACAACTGCTTTAAAACAACAACCATTATTGCATTAACATGTCTAAATCCGTTCAACCGAATCATGTTGCATAAATCATTTGCTTTCGTGCTAATCAGAAGCTGCACCTCTAACTTTAACCTCTAACTTTAATAAAAAATGATTTAGACCGGCTCTAAAAAAGGTGCATGATGCCCCAATGCTTATACCTTAGCAAGCACTACTATTTAAATATAAAAGTGCCTTTTCAAATGAATGAGCATCCTCTGGTCTCGTCCGCAGACTCTTCATGCGGTCACTGAAGCTCTTTGATCGCTCGCTACTGAATTATTATCACTGGCAGCCGTTGGTTGCTCTCTGTCATTAGTCAGAGACGGTGTTTTGACCAGGAACTCTCTGACACTACTTTATTCTGTCATCTAAACTAGTACCTTTTTCATTTTATGAGAGAGGAGGTGTGTGAAATGCATCTCAAGTGTCTGAAGTTTGTGAGGCTGTTGATGTTTTCTTGCACGTGTGTTTGCATGGGTCTCAGGGGGACGCTGTGGTTATGTGTCATACACCAGTAATGGTTCATAATGGCTGCAAAAACCACCATGATTTACTGAAACCTCTGCATGCAACATGCTTTATATAGTCGCCATCTGGTTCTCCGTCCCGATAATCATAATTTAACATGCAAACCATCGTCCTTTTTTCCCTCTAGTCTTCTCTTAGGTGGTTTTTGGACATTTCCAAAGTGGGTGCTTGGATTATTTTTGAAATGGACAAGGTGTACATATTTGGTCTTGTAAATTTGTCCCTCTTTGACAAGGCCTGTAATACAGTAGGGCTTGTGCTTTGTCAGTACACATTTTATCTTATAATTTCTGCAGTGTGTGTGTGTGGGGTGCAAGAAATCACAACCAACACTTGTCTCATCTGATGTAGTGTACAACCTTTTAACTTTAATGGTGAAGCAAAGGACAAAATACTGTAGAATAAATTAGATTAAAAAAAATAGCCACAAGCACATTTTTGATTTGTACAACAAAGCAATGCAACATATTGGTATCTTGATTTCCATATATACAGAATAAAAAATATATTTTTTATTCTTAGTCCACTTATTTCAGTGTCAATTATTTTTTAATAACAAACAAACAAACGAACAAACAAACAAAAACATATGCAACATGTCTTTCTTTTATATATTTTTTTCTGAATTTGTATTTTTCTTTTCCATTTTTTTTTTTTTTGCATTCCCACCAGGAACATACTGAAAAAAGGTAAACGTTTCTTAGTCCAAATGTAACACAAAAGTTCCTTTTTTCTTTTCTTTTCTTTTCCCAAATTGCTTCATTTTTATTTTCTCCAACATTGCACAGTGGTAAAATATTTTGTGTTGGGAAGCGGAAATATGAACATATCCAAAACAAAAACAAGGTTTTTTTTTTGAATCATTGAAGATCCTTTTAATATTTGGTGAAAAGAAAAATAATAATAATAGTAATTCATCTCCCAAGTCATTAAATATCAATGCTGCACATTCACTTTTGTAACAATTCATAATTCAAAACAAACTTTAAAAGGTTGGTTTAAGTGCTGTATTAACCATTTCGATGGCCAGTCACTCGTGGACTGTGCAGCAGTGCAAAAGCACACACAGGAGTGAGCCGCGGCGGGACACTGTATTAAAGGTCTTTCGGTTCGATAACCTGGACATCTTTGCAGGGAGAACAAATCAGAAAGACATATTGGTATCTTCTGAACAACTGTTCGGAGACAGCCTAATATGGTAGGCAAGGCTAAACTAAATTCTTTGGTGTTGAGAAAAAAATCCAAACCCCTATTTTGTAAAATGAGTTTGTACACACGGTCCTCTGATGTAGTGCTTGTCATCTCTGCCTTCCCCTCAATCCTTCCCCCTGTTTATTTTGAACAATCTCATTTGTGAGACTCATGCTATGTAGGTACGCCTGTTCTGAAGTGCTCTAGTCTTTCTCTATAAACATATTTGTATATGTGGCTACGCTGATCAAAATGTCGATATAGTGCAAAACTGTAAACGTTTTAACGTCTCATTTCAAAAGAACAAAAAATGTACAGAAGTAATCAAAACGAAATAATAACATTTTCAACAATAGTCAGAATAATTAGAATAATAATATAGAGAAATGTTTGGTTCCAGCAGCCCGTCAAACTTCTTTCAAGTATCTCTCAACGACACAGACATGCACACACACACACACACACACACACAATACTCCCATAGGCAGACTGTACATACACACACAACACACATATGACATACGTACAAGGTATAAAAAGTCAACCAACGCCGACTTTTCTCTTTTTTTAGTGTGTAAAAGTAAATAGTTAAGAAACAAAACAACACCTTGATGAAAAATATATCGTAATACTTGACAAGTTGCATAGTTTTGAGATTTTCTTTTTCAGGCACCTCATCTACGTGATCTCTCTTCCTGCAGTGCACGTTCGCGCTGCAAAATAGGCCGCATAAATACTCTCTGACCTCGCTCCCTTTGCTTTGTAACAAAAATATATTATATTTCTTTTCTCTTTTTGAAAGTGCCACAGAGATTACTCTGAGTTACAGATACCCATTGTAACGTGACGACCACGCGCAAGTGGTCGAGAGAAAGAGAGGCCTGTCTGCGTGAGAGTTTGGCAGTGAGATAGAGACAGAGGAGCCCTCCTCTCCTCCCTCTACATCTCTTCTTTTTCATCCGTTTTGGGGCTCAAGTTCTCGCCCCCGCCACCCAAACGTGCTGCGCTGTCTCTCCCGTCCTACCCTTCCCCGTCTCGCCGCGGCCTTACGAGCATCCGCATTCTTCTACGATCATGTTCTGGATGTCCTTTTTGACGATCTTCTGCTCCTCGTTGTAGTAGAGCATGGACATGGCTCGCAGACGAGTCGGCACGCAGCAGGACTTGATGTTGGCGAAGGGACTGTACCCTCGCATGCGGTAGTGGTTGATGACCGTGGAGTGGAAGGACAGCGAGTTGCCGGTGATGCTGGCGACGTGGCTGGGACAGTCGCCTTCGCAGTAGTTGGCGTGATACCCCGAGGGCGCGATGATCCAGTCGTTCCAGCCGATGTCTTTGAAGTTGACGTAGAACTGCCGCTTGCAGCAGACGCGTACCTTGCCGTCGCATTCCAGACCTCTTTTGCGACGTCTCCTTTGGGACAGGTCGTCCATCTGCCGCACCACGGCCATGAGGAAAGGCCGATGGGATTGCTCGCGCTCGCCGCCTCCCGGGGTCACGAGGACTGGCGTGGCGCGGGCGTCGGCGCACAGCGGGCAGGAGACGCGCAGGCTCAGCGTGCTCCCCCCGTTCTGCAGCAACGCCTGCACACTGCCCGACACTGGGAACGTGTGCCAGCCGCTGCGCCGCGTGTCCAGAGATTTCTCCGCCAGGACCTTCTCCCCCGTCCCCTGCTGCAGGAGCAGCCGGATGGTGACGTTAGCACGGGTGCGGTTGCCCTTCGGCAGTCGCAGGAAGAGCCAGACGTTGGCTTGCTCCACTACAGACATTTCAGTGCCTTCCTTAGAGATGAGAAAGTTGACAAAGCCCGGAGCTTCACCTGCGGGACAGGAAGAGAAAGAAACATCGGAGATTAGTCAAATGCGCTGATCTTTTGTTATTGTACTCGCATTTCACTCTCCGGTTGACTTCGGATACGACCGGGAGTGGAACAGCTTAGCTTTGTGCCAACAGTGACCAGTTTTTCAAGGTTTCCACTAAACAATCTTCTGTTTCGTGCGACTATTAATAAAGTGCAAAGAAGAATGCAGGATGTCGTCAAATGCAAGATGCAAACAATCCCTCCCATTTGGGTCTTCCTGTACCAACTTGGAAGAGAAATAATTGAGGATTTCAACAAGACTTTAAATCACTACTTCATCACCTCTCCCGGTAGTTAACTAAGCAATTAAGAGTCTGGAACAAGTTTTTGGGGAACGTAATGACCATGACAGCATGCAGCTGGAAGCAGTGATGTCTCATTGGATTGTAAAAGATCATTCTCTCTGGTTTTGATTCCCACACTGGAAAATTTCACGTTGCGGATCATTTGGGAGCTTCTAAACAAATCCCCTCAATTGACTGACTCAACCCGTTTTTAAGCCACTAAACCTTTGTTGGGACATTACCACGGGCTGGTCTAGCTGAGTTCTTGTAAAAGTGGCCACCTACCAAAGGTTTACACAATGATTCTTGCATGTCATGGCTAATAAGTTCAAAATATTGCACAGATACAACAACAAATTTACAGGACTGCGACGTAATAACAATGGCGTCAAGCTACAAGTGTGTATGAGTGCGAGAGTGTGTTTAAGGATCCCTGGCTCAAACCCATCTGTCCAAACACAGCCGAGCTTCACAAATGCAGGCTCTTTTTTCCTTCCAGTAGTGGCTAATGCATTGTTTCCCTTTTAATCTGCACCGAGTGAAAGAATCAAGTATCGGCAGCATTTGCTAAGCCGAGTAAACCCCTTCAACTGCCCCTCCAGAGACGAGGCCCGGGTCCAAAGAAGAAAGATCACCGCTGGAGCTTCGCAACTCCTCATGCTTCTGAATATACTTGCCAGAGAGCAAAGAGAAATTTTGAAATTTGAAGAGAAAGACTAAAGAGCCGTGCAGTAATCCCTCAACAATAAACACCAATTTTACCGCAAGGGCAGAGTTTGCACAGCTGTCCTGCACACAAAGATGGAGAATAGCATTTACACATTCCTCCCCTCCCCCTTTCCCTGTCTTCAAAAGGGGCGGGTGGCTCAAGTATAGAATCACCTGGGAACTTAAGTGTATTTGTTGGGGGGACTGGGGGATGTCCACTCCTCTTTAAACATGGCTTTAGTTAATGTGTTCTATAATCCCCTTTTCTATCTAGTTTACCTTGGGGGGAATCAGCCTCTTTCATCTCCTTGTTGGCCTCCTGTCATATTGTATAGCTTGCAATGCCCCAATGCTTGAAGCTAAAAGAATGAAGGACTCCACAACCTGAAAGGTTGTTCAAACACGCCTCTCTGGATGAAGTTAGTTTGTACTCCTCCTGGTTAACTGTTATAGACGGCACTATTTATCTTTGGCTAATTTGTTGACAGTGCTGATTAAAGGCAACAGTTTTTACACACATGCTAGTTCAAAGAGTACAGCGCTAACAGGTGCTTAATGGATCAAGTGGAACGAAGCATCCATTCACATCACAAAACAAAAAAGACAGCGTGATGTGTATTCTCTAGGACTTGCTGTCATTGTTTCAAGGCCAGTGCTCACGTTAAATATCTGAAGGGAAGGATTCTAGGTGCTAACATAAAACATTGAAGATTCTTGGCCCGTGTTCGTCTTTGACCCAACAAGATATTAAATTAGAAATAAAAGTCTGAGGGTGGAAATATTACTCTTTTAATGGCGTGTAGGAGTGAATGATTTGAGTTCCTCGCCTGTTATGCAACATATTTCAAACGCAGTCCTGTCAGCAGCAAGGATGGATTTTACAGGCTAAACTCATGCACTGGAGCACACTGTGAGCTGTAATATCGTCAAGATATTCAAACAATTGTCAATTATCATCTGAATAATTATTGCTTGCTACTATAATGCATTTAAAGAGAGGCTAAAAGGAGTAGTTCACTTTTAAAAAAAAAACTTTTGCTGATAATTTACTCACCCCCATGTCATCCAAGATGTCCACGTCTGTCTTTCTTCGGTCGAAAAGAAATTACGGTTTTTGATGAAAACATTCCAGGATTTTTCTCCACTTCAATGGGAACCAAACAGTTCAAGGTCCAAAAGACACTTTCATTGCAAATCGCAAACGGTTCCAAGGGCTTTAAACGATTCCAGACGATGAATAAGGGTCTTATCAAGCGAAACGATCGCTCATTTAAAAAAAAGTTTAAGCTCAGCCTTGCTCTGTTCTGTGATGCGCGTTCGTGACTCTCCTGTTCGAACTCGTTCCTCAAAATGAACGAATCTTTTCCAGAGTCAATTCGTTCATTACGTTCGTTGAATGAACCAAATGACGCGAAAAAAGATTCGTTCATTTTGATAAATGAGTTCGAACAGGAGAGTCACGAACGCACATCACAGACAGAGCAAGGCGACCATTTGAGCTTATAAAACTTAAACTTTGTTATTTATTTTTTTTAATGAGCGATCGTTTCGCTTGATAAGACTCTTATTCATCGTCTGGAATCGTTTAAAGCCCTTTGAACCGTTTGTGGTTTGCCCTGAAACTGTCTTTTGGACCTTGAACCGTTTGGTTCCCACTAAAGTCCATTATATAGAGAAAAATGCTGGAATGTTTTCATCAAAAACCTTAATTTCTTTTCGACTGAAGAAAGAAGGACATGGACATCTTGGATGACATGGGGGTGAGTAAATTATCAGCAAAAGTTTTTTCAAGAGTGACCTACTCCTTTTAAAACAAATAAAAATATCAGGAATTTTACAATAAAAATGGTCCGTGATGAAAACGGCTGAGGTGATCCAAGAGAAAATGTACAACATACTAAAATCATAAAGCATCCTTTGACATCATAATGTCACTAAATAGCCCACAAACCACTTCCTTTTGGTGTACAGCATGTTTCTGAAAACGGCATTCTACATCCAGCAATGAGAAGCAAACAAACAAAAATTGCCATTAAAGCCTATTTCCTAACCATAACACTGTAGAGTCTTGTATACATTCTCAGGCGAGGGTCCTTAAAACTGGCTAGCCGCTTCATGATACCACACCTTGTGCTGTAAAGGCCAAGCATGCCTGTTATGCTCTTCCCCAAATGGCCTTGTAGCCTCTTTATCTGGTCCTCATCACCCACAGGCATTTCAGGCACCAACAGTGGGCCTGATTTACTGCCCCCATCTAAGTCAGGCACCCCATCTAGCGGCAAAGAATCACCAGCTTCAGCCGGCGCAGCTCCCGGGGAACCAGTAGGGTAACGAGGAGTTACTGCTGCCTCCCCCCACTAACCTGGAACATGGCTCAAGGCCATGCTGAATACCTGAAAGACGTGGACTTTCGATACAAAACACGGGGGGCAATCTAGGTTGGAAGTTGCGATTCATATTTTACTTGTTTATCTGATTGATTTTTCAGGATTCAAGGTTGAGATGCTCGCTACCATTCCACCAAGCCTACATCTGCAAGTAATAACCCACTCTCACGAACAGGTTTGGATGATGCATAAGCTGTCAGAGTAATAAATGAGCACAGTTGGCATGATGCTGCAGCATCCTTTCTTCACTACAGTACTGTACCTTGAAGCCAAGAAAGCTTTAAGTAGCATATTACAAAATGTCGTGAGCAGTGAAGTATCCTGCAACCTGAGAAAGTGTTTTTTTGACAACGCTAATGCCAAGGGATCCTCGGCTAACAAGGAGGCTTTCTAATGTGGTACTCAAATCTGGATAGTGTTTAAAGGAGAAACTCTGTGGCTTTGTAATATGTAAGGTTTGGCAAAGCTGGCCCATGTAGCCCCAAAATAAGGCGAAGATACTTTGGAATTGGGCTTTTTTATTCCCATTGCCTTGACATGGAGATTCTTTATATTCCTTTTTAAGGAAAGATAAGCTTCTCTTTTCTGCAAATAAATCAATATTTGAACTGCGTGCATGAAAAATCGGGACGTCTTCTTTTCTTTGATGTGACCGTCCCTGCAGGGAGTGATTATAGGGTTTTCCCTGTGATGAATTACTTTGCAAGTACAGGAGATCAAAACAAGGAAGGGAAGTAAATATTGAATCATTGTTTCAGAACATGTCAAGCTTTGCATATGCAACCTGCACGCCTGAATGACATCAAAAAAGGCCAAACACTGACTGAACGCCCACACACATTCGCTTCATCCACGGTGATATCATCGACGTGCCTTCTGTTACTGTTTTCATGGCGAATTCAACAACCACTTTAGTCAACGTCTCTGCATTAGTTGAATCGTTTTAGGTTTGGAAGCAAAGGCTATCCATCTTGCCATTTTTGATGGAAAAGAAACTTTTGGAGAACGCTTGGCTGAATTTTATCAATGACCTTTGTTGCAATCTCAAAATTTAGCTGTGACATGGTAGGAAAGAGCAAATTCTTTAGATATGGTTGCTTTAAAAAAGCATTTGTTCGTCTTTGTATTAGTTATTTCTCACTGCCTGAAAGTCTGCAGACTAAAAGTATTCGCAGTCATGTAAATACACAAGCACTGATTGCACATGGCTTCGGGCTACACCTAGTGCAATCAGTCTCACCATGTAGCGTTCCTTCACCCAGCATGCTGTATGTTAGAGATAATGGTTTAAGCAACTATGTTGTACTATAGAAACAGAATGCCTCGGATTCGTAGTCCTTGAATTTGCAAACTGATATCTTTATCAAGGTGGTTTCTCAAACAGCATTTAAAAGGACAAAAAGGCCACGCACAAAGAAGACTGGAAGTATAAAGAGACATTTAATTCTGTGTATAGTTGCATTGCCAAGAACAAACAATTTTTAAGCCAGTTGTGTCTAACTGCAGCTTATTATTATTGAAAATATGACCAATGATCTTTAAAAAAAGTATTTTGATAAAATATCTCATAGGTTTATGAGAGCAGATCCTTGGACAAGATTCCAGACAGATAGTGTAGAAGTCTAAGACTTGCATCATACACATAATTACAGTTGTCTAAACAACCCACTTAACACAGCATTACAGTGATGCAGTGCAGCAACATGTGTCTTAGAAATCATACCAGTATGAAATAAACACCATGAAGAACTATGCATTATAGTATTTAGTAAGTCAATATAATTACAGGTGTGTCTCTGCTTGTGATGCAAAGCCCAAAAACAATACCTGGTGCCACATTGCAGACTAAATTATGCTTGTACACCAACTATAAATTATATTAAAATAATTTCTGCAAACATTCAACAGTAAAAACATAAAATAAAGAGGCCTTGGAATATTTACCCTAATTCCGTTAGCCTATTTGCATGTGTCTGCAGTCATTTCCCCTTGTGGTGGATTTGGAGAACAGCAATATTTTGGAGACTTGGCATTGTGGTAACGTGGTATTTCGCGCTAGATGCAAGAGCCGGGAATCCTCACGAGCTCGACGATTATTGCGTTTCTGAACCAAAGCCGTAAGTGAACATAAGATCTTTAATGCTTTTTGGTTTGGTCAGGTTTTATTTGACTTATAATAATTAATTTGCACAGTCGCACACGCACACCTAAATTATGCAAAGACTCCACCCGCTACTCATTATAATAAGAAGACCATCAAATTATCTAGTTTGCCAACTATTTACTTTTAAGCACTCTAAAAAAAAATGTTGGGCTGTTTTAACCCAATTTTGGGTAAAACATGGACAAACCCAGCCATTTTTAACCCAATGTGCTTGGTTTGTCCAATTGGGTTAAAACAACCCAGCATTTTTTAGACTGAGGTAAATATCTGAAGTGAAAATGTCAAATTTGAGAGACATTGAAAAGTATATCCACAGAAATTGAGCAATTATGTGCCATGTTTGTCTGACGTTTTGCAATGTGAGCTGCGAACCTGATTTATTCATTCAGCCTGAGGGGCTGTCCGTCTCCCTCTCAGTCAATGCATCAAGAGCTCATTGAAAACAAATAGATGTGTCTGACACTGAGGGGAAAAAAATACTTGCTCTAACAGTCCACATGATAAAAGTTTGATATAGTTTTGATTACTAACAGATTCAGCTCTGTTTCATAACTAGGTTTTTGTCATCACTTAAGCATGATCTGAATTTGTTTTATAATGTGACGAGCTGAAGTCTGGCACCAGAAGATTATCAGGGAATGGTTCTCATAAACAGAGTTCTCACGGTCATAAAAAAATCAGGGAGTTAAAAAAAAAAGTGTGGATTTCCCAAATGAACTTAAAACATTTCCAGAGTGAATATAAATTTTCCTTATGTAAATATGTCATTGATTGGACCATTGCTCTTTGTGAATGCAGTCTCTTTAAAATGATTTTGGAAAATACTTTTGCAGTATTCATGAATGGCTGGGGTGGGGGAAGTCACGCGAATTCATTGGTCAAAAATGCGAAGAAAGCAAAAAAAAAAACAGTTTTAAGACTTATTTCACGCGGTCTACATTTTAAAACTGAATTCATACAATATCAATCTGAATTGAATCATTCTCTCCACAAGGCTGCAGCAGTGTTAAAGTCATGAAACATTCATCTTTTCAGGCAAGCAATCCAATGGCTCTGTTTGCCGCTTTTCAGGTCTGACACATCTGCCGAGAGCCTCGGTGTCACTCATGACCCGTTTGAGCTGTATGACTCAGAGGAGAACCCAATCTTTCCTCACATCACGGGCTTGACAGCACCTTTGAACAGCTCTCGCTGCTGCCGACCATACTCTTTCAACTGCCTTTGAACCCCCGACACAAAGGAGAATAATACGGAGAAGCCTTTTTTATTCCTCTGGGTTGAGATTTTTATTTATCTCTCTCAGCCACATACATACGAGTCTGTCAGTCCCGAGGGAAGAGCTCCTGTGGAGAGCTCGGGGGGGGGGGGCCTTTCAGATAATTACTGATTCTCTAAAGCAGCGGGAGGTTTGCGGGAGCCCCGAGAGGGGAGTGAATTTGCCACAGCGTAGGCAACAGGTTTCCCTGAACTCTTCAAAGTGGTGCTATCAAGTTGAGAACAGCTTTATCAAACCACATCCCACGAAAGCATTAAGGACTAAAGTCTCCCTCAAGACATTTGAACACTAACCCTTTGATTCCCTGATTTACTTTATTTACGGAGCAAAGACATAGGTCGGAAATGCGTTAGACTCACCGGCTTCAGCAAATGTGATGATCTCAGTCTGTTCTGCCTGTTCGGTGTCTGCGCGGTTGCTGGCCTCGTCCTCTATCAGGACACTGCCGTCCTTGGCCACGCGTCCCACGTGTACCTTGCGGATGGCATTGAGGAGCGCGGCGCGAGGCACCGGGTGTGTGATGTTGGGGCGTTCTTGCAGGTGCAGCATGTTAAGTATGTGTCTCTTCACCGCCTCGACCACGTCTTGCTGGGCTCCCTCGTCCTCACCTTTCCGAAGCCGTGCCAGCGCACAGGAGGGGCAGTCCGTGGCGGACGCCTGTTCGGATGTGACCACGGCGCTGGTGTGGATGAGCAGCAGGAAGATCCCGCTCAGCAGAGGGAGAAGGGACATCCTTAAGTGAGAGGTGTCTGCGAAACGAAAAACTTACTTTCAAGAATCCGTCCAGTCAAGTCTGTGGTTGAGCTTGATCTGACTAGGAAAAAGTGAGGGGGGAAAAGTGTAATCCTTGCTGGTGAGCTGTGAGAAGAGATGCTGGTTAAATAGTTCTGATGTCAGTGGATTTCTCCCTCTCCAGGTCCTCGGGAAGTTTGCATGGGATGGGCAGTCGGCTTCTGGATGCGCCCCAGGGAAGCGGTGCGCTCGTGAGAGGTCTGGGACTGCTCACTGTGCAGGAGTTGAATGGTTTTGTTGAAGTGGGCTGGACTCTCTCGCTGGCTCTTGCTCCCCTGTCTCTCTGTTTCTACTTCTTCTCCTCTCTCTTACACAGTAATTATACTTCCCTCCCTCCCTCCCTCCCCTCTTCCTTGCTCCCTCCCTCCCACTCTTTACGTTATTTTTCTAATTGTTCTATTTGTGGGGCAGAGTAACTTCCCCCTGCGGGGTTTACAAACCACGTAGAGGAATTTGCTTCAGACAGAGACATGACAACTGATCTGCTGTTAAGTTTCTGCTGTGATATTTCCCTCCCCTCTAGGTTCATTCATTTGTAAGTTTGCCCAGTTTGCTCTATTAAGCACTCTCTGCACAAAATCTGTTTATATGGTTGAAGAAATGCAGGTCATTTCAAATAATCAAATAGTCATGATCAAAGGAGGTATTTTAAAGTACTCCAAAAATGACATCAAAAAAAAAATGTGGCAACAGATTACAAGCAATATTATTAATTAAATTTAACACATTCCTTTAAAGTTAACCATTTAAAATGAGTAAAACTTACAACAACCAAAAAAAAAAAAAACATAAATTTAAGTCACCATTGTAGTGATCAGTGTTTGTTTTGGGTGTCTTCAATGTTGGCAATATAAAATAAAGAGTTCTTAATTAATCTTTGACGTCTGTCTGTTTTTCTGTTTTTTCTCAATTCTAATTTGTTAAATTTAATTAATAATATTGCTTGTAATCTGTTGCCACAATTCTATTGATTAGATAAAGCATATTCATTTGTGTAGCACGTATTAGCCAATTCTGGTCAACTTTTCAGAGAATTACATATTCTCATTTAAACAGTTCCCCAATTCTTGAAGAAGGAACATCTTGACGTCACTTTGAAGCAGTCCACGTTAAGTATTCCATGCTTCTCCTTTACTGCGTAACACATGTCGTGCTCAGATTCACCAGGAAGTGCCCGGAAGACTAACTTCCTGTTTAATTGGCCGAGGACAGATGTCTGGGATTCTCAGTGAGACAGGCAGCTGGGGTTGTGACATCATCAAAGCCTGAGTTGAGGGCATGCGTGGGTCGACCGTCTGCATATCAGCCAAAACATGCATGAGGGATGCCGTAGTCATGCGAGTCACTGTGTTCTGTGAGTTACGTAGACGTTTTCCCCATATAAGACATGGTGATGCACTAATTTGGGATTACTCCAATTCTGATTCAGGAGACTCGGCTTCATCGGTGATGCTGACTGAGGTCAGTGTCTAAAGTCTGCCTTGAGAAAGACAGCCTCTGGGCATTTATTTTTCTCCAATATAAGAAAGTCTGAGATGTTTGTTTATAATTAAGAACAGTGAATCAGGTTTTGTTCATTATTTTACAATATTAATTCAGTAAATATTATTAACATTAGCATCTTACTTGAGATTTAGATAACTAGTTTACAGGACCCTTTTCTCTGGCAATAAACATTTGTATGGCTTTAATATTTAATATATCACTGTAAGGAGTCCCTCTTGTGGTGAAACTTGCTTATTGCAAGTTTAATTGTTTTTTTTTTTCTTGTGGAAAGCAGGGCTGAGTAAAATTCTTTTAAATTATTAATACTTTATTTTTAATACTTTTATTTTTGTCAATATCTCCTGTTTTTTGTGACTTATGCCCCAAGTATCCTTAATATTGTTAGTATCCATGCCATCCTTAGAGAATGTTAATATTTATAATTCCACACACTGCTTGTTTTTCTATTTTTCTGTGCTTTTCTTTGATTTATTGCTTGACTTGGGGGTTGATATTCTACCTTTTATTTCTAGAAATATCAGAACCTTGGATGTAAAAGAGAGCAGTCTAAATATGATGTAAATACTATTGTTGTTAATATTGTTCCCCTTTAGTAGTTTGCAACGCATTCTCATCCATGACATTGCGCCTTAATCCGACGCATATTAGCGTCAATATAACAGTTTAGACTGAAATCTGTGGACAAAAACTGTAAAAGGGAACTAACAGCAAATCATAATAAGAATTTCATGTGATTTGACGGCAGAGAAGAGGAAATCTGGAAGTTACTTCTATGTAAAACCATCAAGTCATGACCACATTGAATTCTCACACGAAGCTTGCGAAATCTGTCGTTATGTTTCTGTGGTCTAGGAGGCCAAAATTATTGGTTGTTGTAATGACTGTGGTAGTTCCATAATCCATTTTTTCCAGTTTTTGGTTTTCTAAAATGGCTTCCAGTTTCAAATTCAGCTAGTTGTTCTCAGAGTTAACAGAACAGACACAGCAAGTCATCTTTTCTTTTTTCTCCAGGCACTGAATGTTTGTGTGGAGACCAGCTTTTTATTAGGGCTGTTAAAATGAGCCATTGCAGTCTCTGCCTCAGAGCTGTTACTACTTTAGTACAGCACTTCAGCCAGAAACACACTTGCAATGACATGGTGTAATACACTGTATCACACAACAATAAACACCCAGCACTTGCTGACTTGTTGAATATACAAAGTAGGGGATAAAGATATCAATGACTATTCTCTAAACATAACAAGTCAAGCAATCCAGAAAGAGTGGACAGTCCTGGGCAAAATTATTGTAGTACTTTGTAAGTCCTGTTTGAGGAAATGTTCTTGACTTTAGCTGGGCCGTGTCTGTATGTCTCGTGGCGGGACAGTCTGGATGGCTTGCAGCTTAAAGGTATACTTTAGGCTCATTTTACAACTCCCCCAGAGTTAAACTGTTGAGTTTTACCGTTTTTGAATCCATTCAGCCGATCTCCGGTTCTGGCTTTACCACTTTTAGCATAGCTTAGCATACATCATTGAAGTGCACAAGACCATTAGCATTTCTCAAAAAATGACCAAAGTGTTTCGATATTAGTTGTGATTTTCTAGGCTGATATGGCTAGGAACTATAGGCTACTCTCATTCCCGCGTAATAATCAGGAAACTTCACTACCGTACCATGAGTGCAGCAGGCGTAATGATATGATGCAGCGCCTGAAAATAGGCTAACTTCCGCCAACATAACTACACAAACTTAGTCCCGGTCATGTTGGAAGTTACCGAGCTGGGGACTATTTTCAGGCGCTGCGACATATCATTACGCCTGCTGCACTCATGATACGACAGTTTGTACGCAGGAATGAGAGTATAGTTCCTCAGCCTAGAAAATCGCAACTTTACATTTTCCGTCGGTCTTAAGAGTCAAGTTTTAAAGCCACACTGTGGAACTATTCAACCTGTAAAATATATTACCAAAACCCATTGTGATGGTACATCGACTTACAATAGGTTGAATGACATATCTGCCGTAGCCTGAAGGTGTCTGTATCGCGTTTACTAACACTTTGTAACTTTGGTTTTCGGGTAGGAACCCCGAGCACAAAAGAACTACAAAATTCGACCGCTATACGGCATACTTCACTTCCCCCACCACCCCAAGCTTCCTCAGATTCTGACTTGAGTGCTCAACTCGCGTTTGATTGCCCTCTGAATGTTTTCGTCATGGCCGAACAAGAAAGAAGGCAACGGTTTTATCAGAGGAAACTAAAAAAAGAAAAGGGGAGAGTGACAAATTATTGGATTAACATTGGTCCAGTTTTCGCTTCGCTCGCTGGCGTGAGCTTTAAAGTTACAGGTCGAGCGCCTCTAGTGGCCAAAAGTTCCGCAGTGTGGCTTTAAATAGGAAGAATATCGAAACACTTTGGTCATTTTTTTGAGAAATGCTAATGGTCTTGTCCACTTCAATGATGTATGCTAAGGTATGCTAAAAGTGGTACCGCCAGAACCGGAGATCGGCTGAATGGATTCAAAAGCGGTAAAACTCAACAGTTTAACTCTGGGGGAGTTGTAAAATGAGTCTATTTCCAAAAAAAAGTGGAGTATTCGTTTAACTGATCGATTGGCTTACCTCCACCTCTGTCTTCTCATCAGGGGATACATAATGGAGAGAGGGATGAGGGACTGGTGACACGGAGGTTACATGATTCCTCAACGACACGGCTGGGAGACAAAGTCCCATTAAAACGTGAACGGAGAATTTGGAGAGGTAGAAGCAGGGAAAATGTGTTTTTCAACCCTGGAGAAAGAAATTGAGAAAGAGAAAATGAATGAGTAAATCTTTCTCCAGATGTGAGCGTCTCCAGGATTCAGGACGTTCTATCGCACACGACGGGATGTATCCCTCGCTCTCTGTCCCTTCCAGGATTTAGGGTTTGGAGGAAGGCTGTCTGGGTCGTGTGCTATCTGAAACCGGAATCGACTGTGCCTCCCTGTGTGAGTTTCATTGGAGACCACAGGGAAAAGCTCAAATTGAGGTTAGATAGACTAACGTTGTCTGCCCTAGTGTCTCTGCTGTTGGATAAGTGCGAAGATGGGAAATTCACCAACTCCGCGAAACTCCTGCGAGGACTTCAGATGACCAAACTCTGAATCAACATACACCAATGCTACATTTTTCTAAATGTCATAATCATTTATTAAAGGGGTGATGAACTGAGAAATCAAATATTCCTTGAGCTTCTGACATCTAAGAGGTCATCATATTATAAGAATATCCTGTAAGTTTCAGAACTGAAAACGTCCTTGTTAGTCCATTAAAAGCTTTTATTGACACCAGCCCTAGCAAACGACTCGAAAGTGGGGAACTATGACGTCAAAGAGGATAAAACACCACCCCTGCAGAAGAAGATCAACGCGGCCGGTTTAGTCCCGCCCACCGATTCGCGCATTACACGCATAGCTAAATAACACGGGCCTACCTCGTGATGACAAACCGGATCGAGCTACCGAGCAATACAAAATATTGTGCAGCGCCTGGTTGTGGAAGAAGACAGTCGCTGAAAAAGCGAGTGAGTTGAAACTCATTATAATATGCAAAACTGTTATCCAGTCACAGCAGTGGGCGTTTACTTTCAAGTCTTCAATGCGGGACGCCCATAAAAACCGAGTGTTTTTGAGCTATAGGCTCAAAACTAGTTTAGAAAATAGCCTAAAATAGCCTAATATTACTTATTCATTTTTTTTTTTTTTAATGTAAAAACCAAGCGAACGTCAATAGTTGAACTCAGACAACAATATAAAGAAAATAAATATATTTTTTAGTAAATCTATCAATAAATTACAGGAACGTCTGTCTGTCTGTTAATCGCATATCTCTCGAACTGTTAGTCCGATGGATCTCAAACTTGGCAAGTGTCTTGCTACAGGCTCGAGTAAGTGCAGTGCAGAGTTTGACGTTGTTTGGATTAGATATCGCTAAATA